CCTACCTCCTCCCATGAGGACCGGTGCTGAAGCAAGCGATGATATATCGCGTTGCCAGGGAAGCGTCCGGTACAAGCCGCACGGCGCGAAGCGCCAGTGCAGACTTGTATATGTGTATATACATTTGTATATCCACATGATATCTATGTATATATATATATATATATATCCACCGAGGGCCCCAGTCGATCGACAGACTTGCCCACGTGTTCAAGGCTTCAGGCAGCGGCCGCGGCGGCGGCAGCGGTAGGATCGGCCGAGGTGCCCGACGGTCTCCAAACGCGCCCTGGGAGTCTCTGGAGGAGGGCCGCCGATGTCTTGCCTGGCCCTGTGCTGAGGCCCTCGATCCTCGGACACCCGCCGACGATTTGGCTTTGTCAGGTCCGCGAGCCCTTCAGCTCCCGGCAACTTCCCTCTGGGTGCCAGTTGTTCTTCACAAATCCGTTTCTGATGGCCCTGCGCCGCGAGAGCGGGCCCCTGGAGCCGAAGACGGCCCACGGGAGCCGAAATCATACGGCGCCAACGGGCGAGCGTGTGTGTGTGTGTTGTGCGTGTTTTGTGTGTGTGGTGTCTGTGTGTGGTGTGTGAGTGTGTGGTGTGTGTGGTGCGTGTGTGTGTGTGTGTTGTATGTTGTGTGGTGTGTTGTGTGTGTGTGTTGAGTGTGTTCTGTGTCTTGTGTGTGAACGTGTGCAAATGTGTGTGAATGTGTGTGAAAGTGTGCGAATGCGTGTGAATGTGTGTTATGTGTGTGTTGTGTATGGTGTGTGTTGTGTGTTGTGTGTGTTGTGTGTGTTGTGTGTTGTGTGTTGTGTGCTGTGTATGTTGTGTGGGCGTTGTGTGTTGTGTATGTTGTATGTTGTGTGTGTTGTGTGTGTTGTGTGTGTGTTGTGTGTGCTGTGTGCTGTGTGCTGTGTGTTGTGTGCTGTGTGTGTGTCGTGTGTGTCGTGTGTGTCGTGTGTGGTGCATGTGTGGATGTGTGTTGTGTGTGTTGTGTGTGTGGTGTGTGTGGTGTGTGTGTGGTGTCTTGTGTGTGCTGTGTGCGGTGTGCGGTGTGGTGTGTGGTGTGTGCTGTGTGTTGTGTGCTGTGTGTGGTGTGTTGTGTGTGGTGTGTGTTGTGTGTGGTTTGTGTGTTGTGTGTTGTGTGGTGTGTGGTGTGTGGTATGTGGTGTGTGTGGTGTGTGGTGTGTGGTGTGTGGTGTGTGGTGTGTGGTGTGTGGTGTGTGTGCGGTATGTAGTGTGTGGTGTGTGGTGTGTGGGGTGTGGGTGTGGGGTGTGGGTGGATTGTGGTGTGTGGGGTGTGGGGGTGTGGGTGTGTGATGTGTGGTGTGTGGTTGTGGGGTGTGGTGTGCGGGGGGGGGGCCGGCGGCGGGCGCGCGCGGGCGCGCGCGCGCGGGTGTGTGTGTGCGTTTGTTTGTGTGTGCGCGCGCGTGTGTGTGTGTGTGCGTGTGTGCGTGGTGTGTGTTGTGTGTGTTGTGTGTTGTGTGGGTTGTGTGTGTGTGTTGTGTGTGCTGTGTGTGTTGTGTGTGTGTGTTGTGTGTTGTGTGTGTTGTGTGTGTTGTGTGCTGTGTGTGTTGTGTGCTGTGTGTGTTGCGCGTGTGTGTTGTGTGTTATGTGTGTGCTGTGTGTTGTGTGGTGTGTAAGTGTGTGTTGTGTGTGTTGTGTGCGTGTGTTTTGTGTTGTGTGTGTGAATGTGTGTGAATGTGTGTGTGAATGCGTGTGCATGTGTGTGCATGTGTGGGTGTGCATGTGCGGGTGTGTGGGTGTGTAGGTGTGTGGGAGTGCGGGTGGGTGGGTGGGTGTGTGGGTGTGTGGGTGTGTGGGTGTGTGGGTGTGTGGGTGTGTGCGTGCGTGCGTGCGCGCGTGCGAGCGAGCCTGCAAGCCCGCGAGCCTGCGTGCGTGCGTGCGTGCGTGCGTGCGTGCGTGCGTGTCTGCGTGTCTGCGTGTCTGCGTGTCTGCGTGTCTGCGTGTCTGCGTGTCTGTGTGTCTGCGTGTCTGCGTGTCTGCGTGTCTGTGTGTCTGTGTGTCTGTGTGTCTGTGTGTCTGCGTGTCTGCCTGTCTGCGTGTCTGCCTGTCTGCCTGTTTGCCTGTCTGCTTGTCTGCCTGTCTGCCTGTCTGCCTGTCTGCCTGTCTGTCTGTCTGCGTGCGGGCGGGCGGGTGGGCGCGCGTGTGCGCGTGTGCGCGTGTGCGCGTGTGCGCGTGTGCGCGTGTGCGCGTGTGCGCGTGTGCGCGTGTGCGGGAGTGCGGGAGTGCGCGTGTGCGCGTGTGCGCGTGTGCGCGTGTGAGCGTGTGCGCGTGTGTGCCTATGCGCGTGTGCGCGTGTGCGCGTGTGCGCGAGTGCGCGTGTGCGCGTGTGCGCGTGTGCGCGTGTGTGCGTGTGCGCGTGTGCGCGTGTGCGCGTGTGTGCGTGTGAGCGTGTGCGTGTGAGCGTGTGAGCGTGTGTCCGTGTGTGCGTGTGTGCGTGTGTGCGTGTGTGCGTGCGTGTGTGTGTACGTGTGTACGTGTGTGCGGGTGTGCGCGTGTGGATGTGTGGGTGTGTGTTCGTGTGCGTGTGTGTGTGTGCGTGTGTGCGTGTGTGCGTGTGCGCGGGTGTGTGCGTGTGTGCGTGCGAACGTGCGTGCGCGTGTGTGTGTGTGTGTGTGTGTGTGCGTTGTGTGTGTGTGTGCGCGTTTGTGTGTGTGTGTGTGCGTGCGTGCGCGTGTGTGTATGAGCGTGTGTGTATGAGCGTGTGTGTGTGCGTGTGTGCGTGTGCGCGTGTGTGCTGTGTGCGTGTGCGTGTGTGCGTGTGTGCGTGTGCATGCGTGCGCGTGTGCATGTGTGCGTGTGTGCGTGTGTGCGTGTGTGTGTGCGCGTGTGTGTGTGTGTGCGGGTGCGTGTGTGCGCGTGTGCCCGTGTGAGGGTGTGCGGGTGTGCGGGTGTGCGTGCGGGTGTGTGAGGGTGTGCGGGTGTGTGTGTGTGCGGGTGTGCGCGGGTGTGTGCGGGTGTGTGCGGGTGTGTGCGGGTGTGTGCGCGTGTGTGCGTGTGTGTGCGCGTGTGTGCGGGTGTGCGTGTGTGCGTGTGCGCGTGTGCGCGTGTGTGCGTGTGTGCGTGTGTGCGTGTGTGCGTGTGCGCGTGTGCGCGTGTGCGCGTGTGCGCGTGTGCGCGTGTGCGCGTGTGTGTGTGTATGTTTGTATCGTGTGTGTTGTGTGTTGTGTGTGTGGATGCGTGAGTGGGACTTGATTCGCTGTTCTCCGCCACCCGCTTTGCCATTCTGGATCATTTCGAGGAGTCAAGTCGTGTGATGGGTGTGCCAAAATGGGGTGTCGCCGACATGCGAATGTTACCATTGGGGCCCTCGGATGGGGCCCCGAAACGTGTGAGGGGTGTGACGCGGAGAGCAGAGGCAGGAGAAGGAGGAGGAGGAGGAGGAGGTGGGGGAGGAAGGAAGAAAGGAAGAAGGAGACGCGGGGCGCTGCGGGTTCAAAATGCCGACCCAACACACAGGAGGGCATGGAGAAATCATCCTGGCGAAGGACCCAACCGTTTGCAGTTGTGAGTACCGTGTTGTGGCACCGCTTTCGGTGCAGGTTCCTATGGGGCGGCGCCGCCATGCGGACCATGCCACTGGGACCGTCGGTGCAGCTTTCTATGGAGCCACGAACCGTGTGAGGGGTGCGACAAAATGGGGTGGCGCCGCCATGTGAACCCTGCCACTGGGGCCTTCGGTGGATCTCCCTATGGGGCCACGAACCGTGTGAGGGGTGCGCCAGAATGGGGCGGCGCCGCCATGTGGACCCTTGCATTGGGGCCTTCGGCTGATCTCCCTATGGCCCCAGGACCCGTGTGAGGGGTGCGCCAGAATGGGGCGGCGCCGCCATGTGGACCATGCCACTGGGGCCTTCGGTGGAGCCCCCTTACGGGGCCACGAAGCGTGGCACTGGGTGTGCCGCAACACTGACATGCGGAGGGCAGAGACAGGGATGGGAGGTGGGAGAGGGGCAGGGCTCTCCTGGGGGGGGGAGGCAGGGCAGCGGGAGAGGAGGAAGGAGAACGCGGGGCGCTGTCCCTTCAAAACGAGGACCCAACACCCCAGGGCGGTCGGGAACAGCGCCGTGTCTGCTGCTCCGTGCCCGGGTCTGGGCCGCGCGGCTCTGGCCACAGACCCGGCGCACGCCGAGCAGCGCACAACACGCCGGGACACCGAGAAAGGCGGAGCGGCAGCTGCTGGCCCCTCGCGGGGGCCCAGCAACTTGGTCACGGGCCCCCCGTGGGTCAGAGCGGTCGCCCTTCGCCGAGGGAGCGGCGCGAGAGGGCGCGAAGGTCACCGCGCCGGGCGCGTCTCGCGGGGCGCGATGGGCTCTGGGCACCTCGGAGAGCGGCCCCCCGGGGGAGCCGAAGCCGGGTGAAAAAAATGCCAGCGGTGCAGAAAGTCCATCCGCCGGAGCCCTGCCGGCCCGAGGGGATCGGGCCCTGGATCCCGGGGCCTTCCCCGGGCACCAGCTTCTCGTGCTGAGCCGTCGTTTGACGACCCTGGGGGCCCTGGGGCAAGTCGTGGGCGAAAAACATACCTCTATCCACGGCCTCGCGGGCCAGGCCCCGAGGCCACAGCCCCGTGGATTTGGGGCGCGTTTTCGCGGATGCCCCCGCGTACCCTTGCGACCGCGTATCCACGGGATCGCGCCCCAGAATGCAGACCGCGGGGGCGTGGGCATGGATGCTTCTGCCGCTCGTGGGCAAGGGGAGGGCCCCAGGAGCCCGAGAACGGCCAAAAACCCCAGGCTTGGCATCGCCCGGACGTGTGCATCTTTGTCGGCGAGAACCATCGAGGAGCACACTGGATCATCATCATCATCATCAGGCAAAAAAGCACGCACGAAACCGGACAACGCATGGGGAATTTACGTCCGAGCGATGGCACGCAGGACCCGCTTCCTCAACATCGAGTCTTGAGGGGCAGCAGCAGTGCCGCGGCACGGCTGCGCCGCGGCCGCCCCCCCCGCGGCGCCCCGCTCGCGCGCCGACAGGGACGGGCCTTGCCGCCGGCGTGGGCAGCGTAGTGGCCTCCACCGTCTCAGGGTACTCCGGAGGCGGGGCTCCCTCCCTCGCTCGCTCGTTCGCTCTCACGTCCTCGCTCATCCTCCAACCTCCTCGCCTCCTCCTCCTCCTCCTCCTCCTCCTCCTGCTCCTAATCATCATCATCATCATCATCATCATCATCATCATCATCATCATCATCATCATCATCATCATCATCATCATCATCATCATCATCTCATCCTCATCCTCATCCTCATCCTCATCCTCATCCTCATCCTCATCCTCATCCTCATCCATCCCTCCCTCCCTCCTCCCTCCTCCCTTCTCCCTCCTCCCTTCTCCTCTCCCTCCATCCCTTCTCCCTCCTCCATCTTCTCCTCCTCCTCCCTCCTCCCTCCTCATCCTCCTCATCCTCCCCACCACTCCTCCTCCTCCTCCTCATCCTCCTACCATTCCTCCTCTTCCTCCTCTTCTCCTCTTCCTCCTCCTTCTCCTCCTCCTCCTCCCTCCTCCTCCTCCTCCTCCTCCCCTCCTCCTCCTCCTCCTCCTCCTCCTCCTCCTCCTCCTCCTCCTCCTCCTCCTCCTCCTCCTCCTCCTCCTCCTCCTCCTCCTCCTCCTCTCTCCTCCTCCTCCTCCTCCTCCTCCTCCTTCCTCCCTCCTCCCTCCTCCTTCCTCCTTCCTCCTTCCTCCTTCCTCCTTCCTCCTTCCTCCTTCCTTCCTCATCATCATCATCATCATCATCAGCAGCAGCAGCATACTTAGCATCATCATCAGCAGCAGCATCGCTCCTCGCTCCTCGCTCATCGCTCCTCCTCCTCTTCCTCCTCTTTCTCCTCCTCCATATCCATCCCTTCTCGTCATAGCTAGCTGCCTCCTGTCACAACACCAGACGTCGGTAGGGCGGACGTCTCACCGTTTATGCGATTGAAGCGTGAAAGTTGTAACAGTATCACGGGTGGAGGGCGGATGGGTTTCACATTGTTGTTCTCGCCGCGGCGCCGCGCACGTGCGTGCAAGAGTGTGCAACAGCTTCACGGATGGAGGGCGAATGGTTCTAAGAGTGTTGTTCTCGCCGCAGCGCCGCGCACACTCGAACAGCTGCACGGATGGAGGGCGGATGGTGTTCAAGTTGTCGTTCTCGCCCTAGCGCCGCACACATGCGTGTTAAGTTTACAACAGCTTCAAGGATGGAAAACAGGCCGTCTTCAACATGTGGTCATCGTTTTAGCACCGAGCACTTTCGTCTTAAAAGTTTGCAACAGCTTCAAGGCTGGATGTCGTTTCCGTTTGATCATGCTGCTCTCGCGTTATCACCGTGCACGCTCATTTTCCAAGTTTGCAGCAGTTTCAAGCAGTCGTAGGGTTGAAGTCCAAGGAATTGCTTTCTGGTACGATTTAAGGTTGTAAGGCTGTAGCCGTAAGTTTGATTCGCGGTGTTGAAGCCACAGAAATGGAGTTCTGTCACGATGTCGGATTGTCAGGGCGAAACAGTCACGTTGATTCGCGGCGGTGAAGTCGCAGGAATTGCATTATGGTCCGATTGAAGATGCTCAAACGGTTTTCTTCCAAAGGAGCACGTTCCGAAATGAAGATAAATTCCTGAAGGGACCAGTGAAAATGAAACTTGGAGGGAGGGTATGCTGCTGTCACAACTTCAATGTCGTTGGTCCGTCTCAGGTTTACACTGGTACTCCTCCTTATCCTCCTCGGTCGAGGCTTCGAGCGCTCGACGATCGAAGAACCGGGTTTTCAGAGTTGGGTCCTTAATGACCTTCTTACACTCCCTTTTCCCCCCCCTCCTCTTCCTCCTCCTCCTCCTCCTCCTCCTCCTCCTCCTCGTCCTCCTCCTCCTCCTCCTCCTCCTCCTCCTCCTCCTCAGCCTCCTCCGTCGAGCATCAAGGCTTCGAGGATCGAGGTTCTCCAACGTTTTTGGACCTCTGAAGGCCTCTGGGGCCTCTGGAGGCCCCAGGAGGCCTTGGGCTTGGGATGGGGGTCAACGTGTCCCCATGTTGTCGAGTTGCCCCTCCGACGAGACCTCGGCGCCCGCGGGTGCCGCCGGGGGCGTCCCGCTGCTGCCGCTCTCGTGTGCGCCTTTGGGGGGAGCCCTGCGCAGCGAGGTGCCCGGGCGTGGCCAGGCCTGGGTCCCGACCCGGGGGGGGGGGGGGGTCCCCAGCTCTCCGCGCCACGGCCTCGCGAGGGGCGCTCCGGAGGCCGTCTTGGGGCCTCCCCGGGGAGTCGGCGGGCAGGCCCCTTGGGCCAGAGGCTCCCGGGGCAGCACCCGGAGGTGCGCGCTCCGGGCGAGGTCGTCCCCGAGAGCTGCCGTGCGCGCAGCGGTCCCGAGGTGGCCGCGCTCCTGCGGGGGGGGGGGATGGGTCCGACGGAGCCTCCTTCCCTGCGGCAGCCTGCACGCGCACGGAGGGGCGGCAGGAAGAGGCCAGGAGACCGGCAGGCAGTGTCGGCCAGGAGGCGTTCTAGCACGGTCGGCGTATATGGAAGAGCCCCATCGTCATCATCACGTCCTTCTCCTTCGCCGTCGCGCCCTCATTGATACCCTCGTTCTCCTCATCGTCGTCAGCGTGCCGCGTGCCCATCCGCCTTCTTTTCTACCTCCCGTATTAGATGTTATTTCTCAGTCTCGTCCTCGTCTACCTGCCCTTCCACCTCCAGCCCAGTTCCTCTGGCATTGCCTGGCATTGTCCCCAGGGGGCGTTCAACGCCAAGGATTCCATTTTAGCCTACACATAGAATCACATTCGTGTTCACATCATCTCTCGTCTCGAATGGGCCCATCGATGTTGTAACTTGTCTCAGCTGGAACGCGTACGTCCCTTGCTATGCTCTTTTCCCGTCTGACGAGCGGCAAGTGTAGCGATGATTCCGAGCTTGCCAGCAGCAGTGACAGCACAGTGACGAGCCAAGCAGGAACGTTCTCAACGACGGCCACGATACCCAAGGGCATCCGCAAGCACCACAACCGGGATCCGACGTTGCCCCAAAAATGCAAAATCGTACAAAATCACGACCAGCGCCCCATCTGTCTGAGACATGTTTCGTGCCGCATCGATCTGGACTTGTCCTGGGGCCCGAAACCGGGCGAAAACGCCCATGGTGAAGCAAATGCAACGCCAGAGCCTCAGGGATGCTAAACCCAGATTCCAGACGTCATTGTGTTTCATGACGTCGACCCCCGGAGGTCTCGACCCGTTCCCTGGGACAGATGTTTCATCCTGGGTCGTTTTTGTTAACGCCTCGAGGCCCAGTAAGAGCCCCTGGAGGCCGAAGATTGGGAAAAATGGTCCGCCGAGGTTTGTTCGCTTTCTGACCCGAGGGAGTCTGGGAAGCAGGCGCGTGGGGCCCTACCCTGACCTGCCAGAGTGCTAAAATATAACACTCAAGACCTATAGACCGATCTAGACTGATGAAAACCTCGACCAGGATTTGGGCATCGAGGTCCCGATGCTGTCTTGAAGCCCTCTTGAATAGTCAGGGGGGCCCTCCATCTCCTCCTCCTCCTCCTCTCTCCTCCTCCTCCTCCTCCTCCTCCTCCTCCTCCTCCTCCTCCTCCTCCCTCCTCCTCCTCCTCCTCCCCTTCCTCCTCCTCCTCCTCCTCCTCCTCCTCCTCCCTCCTCCTCCTCCTCCTCCTCCTCCTCCTCCCCCTCCTCCTCCCTCCTCCCCCTCCTCCTCCTCCTCCTCCTCCTCCTCCTCCTCCTCCTCCTCCTCCTCCTCCTCCTCCTCCTCCTCCTCCTCCTCCTCCTGCGCAGCCCTCCTGGATGGTCAGGGCATCTGTATGCGCCGCGGCCGGGCCGCCGCAGGCGGCGGCGCGCTGGGCTTGCTGAAGGGCCTCGGCACGGGCATCGTCGGCGGCGCGGCGCGCCCGCCGCCGCTGCCGTGCGCGGGGCCGGCACCGTGCTGGGAGGATTCCGGCCACTCGGACCAGTAGGATCGAAAAGGGCACCCTGACAGGGCTCATTTCGACTCCTCCGAGTCGACTCGAGTTCGAGTTCGATGGCCTCCGATTCCGATTCGATTCGACTTCGGATGCCGATTCGGATTCCGATTTCTCAGCGGAGGCCTACTAGCCTGCCGATGTCTGCGCGGGGCCAGCACATGCCGGGAGGATCCCTGCCACAGGAAGCGGTGAATCGAAAGTGTACCCGGAGGTCTTGACGGCCAAGAGTCCCTGAGATCCTGGCGACTCAGCTTTTTCGAGCCGGGCGTTTTCACTCCATTTCGGGCCCCGGGACCTTCGCAGATCGATGCGGCTCGAAACATGACGCAGGAAGATGGGGCCTGGGGGTCCAGTCGTGATTTTGTGCGATGTTGCATTTTTTGCAGCGTCGGATCTCAGGTGAGGGGGTTATGAATAGGGGCCTCCAAGCCTGGCCTGGCCAAGGCTCCCTCTGGATCCCGCCCCCCCCCCCGCTGCGCTGTTCACGGGGCCGCGCCCTGGCGCGTGCTGCAGCGTCTCAGCCTTGTCTCGTCCCTGTAGGCCCCGCCCCGCGCCCTTGGGGGCTGGAGGTGGCCTCGTCCGCGGGCTTGCGCTCTTAGGACCTTAGGATTCTCCTCCCGTGCCGCCGCTGAAGTGCTGGTCGCGGGCAGCAAGGAGGGTGGTGATGACAAACTAGGGGGGGGGGTATCAATCATGGCGGGGGCCATGATGTCTCCCCAGATTTCATGGCGCCTCTGCTTGTGTCAATGCGTCCCCAGCCCCACCCTGGGCCGCGCACATGCCGCTGGCCATGATTTGCGCCCCCCCATCTTCGACGCCCCGCTCTTGGACGTCCCCGAGCCCTGCGACCTGGGCGTCGTCGCAACTTTGTCACAACGGGCGTTCTCGCCCGGTTTCGGGCCCCGGGGCCCAGCTCGACAAGATGCCCCAGAAAGTCTCCGGGCCTCGGCTGCAGATCGATCCGGCTCGAAAAATGTTGCAGACAGATGGGGGTCTAGGGCTCCAGTCGCGATGGTTTCGCGATGTTGCAGTTTTTTACGACGACAGGGGTTTGCTTGTTTTCTGCGGGGGCCCTCGCCGGGCCCCAGGACCGTCGAAACACGACTCGGGATGAGTAACTGTTCCCGGGGAAGTGGTCGAGGGCTCGGGGGCCCGCGTTTCGAAAAAAACGAGACACCAGATGTCTGGGGCACGATCGAGGTGAGCGCAAGACCCCGAGCCAGGTCCCGCCGGCCTGGGGCCGAGGCCGAGGGCAGGGCCAAGAAGCCGAATACATGCGGGCTCGAGAAGCCGGAGCCAGCCTCCTCCTCCTCCTCCTCCTCCTCCTCCTCCTCCTCCTCCTCCTCCTCCTCCTCCTCCTCTTCCTCCTCCTCTTCCCCCTCCACCACCTCCTCCTCCTCCTCCTCCTCCTCCTTCTCCTCCTCCTCCTCCTCCTCCTCCTCCTCCTCCACGGGTCGCCTATACGGCCCTGGAGGAAACCGTGCACCCTGAGCTGGAGCCAAAGCTTCACCACCCACCAAACCACCCCAACCACACCCGAAGGCCTCGATTTGCCCTCCATTTCCAGTGGGGGGGAGTCGGGGAGCGTTGAAAAAACACATGGGACCCGTACCCCCCCCCCAACCCGGAATTCGGCTCAAATTCGGGTCTTTTGGTAGGTAGTCAAAGCTTGGCTAGCGGGAGCAAAAGCCGGGCACTGAAAGGACAGGGTCGGACAAGGCCAGGAGGAGGATAAATCCGTTCCAGAGCGTTCTGGAACGCTCTCAGAGCGTCGTTCCCGAACGCTCTGAGAAGGCCGCGTCGCGTGAGACATCTTCTAGAGCAGCCGCATCTCAGAGATCCTCGATGTATCTTCACTCGATGTTACCCTCGACCTGGCTTCGTCTTACAGGGACGAAGCACTACAGCAGTGACGTTGTCCATCCGCGGCAACATGTTGCTCACCCAGTGGCGGCCGCTGTCGGTTTTGGCGAACATTGGCCGTTTGGCATCGCACCCACCTCGGGTGTGCGAAACGGAAGATGCTCGAAAGTGTGTTCATACGTTTCCGTGTTCCTTGGAGGTTGTCCTGTCGCGGGGTGCGCCCCCGCGGCTGCGCCTCGCCAGGGGCGTTCCGGCGGAGCCAGGGTCGTCCCGAGCGGCCGCGAGAAGCCAGAACTAAGGCCCGGAGGCCAGAGGAGGCGGGGAGCCACCTGCACGTCATCAAGAGTACAGTCGGGTCGCTGAAGAAGGAACCCTTCTCGTTGGGCAGGGGCTCCGTATTCCTTAATTGTTTCACAGCTTGCCTCAGGTTTTCCTCATGCTTTCGATGGGAAATCGAAGTTTAACTTATGGAAAAAAGAGGCCTCGTGCCTTATTTAGGGTTCCTTAGGTCAGCGCCCCGACTGTAGCCCTTCGCTGGAGTGACCCTTTGGTGCGCGGCTCTCTGGGGGCGCGCGGGGGGGGGGAGGGCAAAGTCCAAGCACGCAGGCCGCTCCTGTCGCGCCGCATGCAACGATCGAGAAGCCGCGCGCCGAAGGTCACCCCCGTCCAGGGTCACTAATGCCCAGCGAGAAGAGAAGGAGGAGGAGGAGGAGGAGGAGGAGGAGGCGGAGGAGAGAGGAAAAGAGGAGAAGAGGACAAGCAGCGGAGGAGAAGAGGAGGAGGAGCAGGAGGAGGAGGAGAAAGAGGAGGAGCAGGAGGTGGTGGTGGAGGAGGAGGTGGAGGAGGAGGAGGAGGAGTACGACGCTATGAGCTTCGCTCAAAGTTTACCCAACATGAAAAATAACGAGGAGAAAGAGGAGGAGGAGGAGAAGGAGGAGGAGGAGGAGTACGACGCGACGAGCTTCGCTTAAAGTGCGCCCAACGTCAAACAAGCGAGAAGGAGGCGGAGGAAGAGGAGGAGGAAGCCACGTCCTCTCGAACCATGTTGGCGCGAGGAAGGACTCAGGCGTCGCGCCCCGCACGGGCACTTTCCCTGTCCCTCCAGCGAGGACGAGGGCGCGCGCGTCAGGAAGGGTTGCGCAGGTTTCTCAGGACCCCTCCTGGCACAGGCGCCAGAGGGCCAAACCAAGACAAGCTCGTTTGCTTCTCCGTGTGGTGGCAGTTCAGCAGCTGCTCAGTCACCATCACAGCTTCGACCGCATTATGACAGATCATTGGAAATGCAGACGAAGCGGTCGACTGAGCAAAACAAAGTGGTGACCTGCCAGTTTGGGAATCAATGGGGGACGAGCAAGCAGCAGAGGGGTCGTCTAGTGGCCGCCGGCACATCCCGCCACCGTGCCTAGGTTGTGGGTCAGAGTCCTCTGGGATGCTTTGTGGAGTCTCTTTGGAACGCTCTCGGGGGCCTTCGGGGAGCAGTTTTGTGGCCTCTTGGGGGCCTATTGGAGCTTCCTGGGGACCTCTTTGGGGAGCTCCAGGTGCCTATTGGGGGCCTCTTGGTCCTCCTAGGGGCCACTGGCTCAACATGTCCGTTCGGGTCTCCTATCTGGGCCCCTCTTCGAGTCGTCTTGGGGGGCTATTTGGGCCGCCTTGGAAGCCTTTTGGGCCGTCTTGGGGGTCTCTTGGGCCATTTTGGGACCTTCTTCGAGACGTTTTGAGCAGCATTGGGGCGATCTTGGGGGCTTCTTGGAGCGTCGAGGCGGGCACGCCAAAATTAGTTAAAAGCAGATGGGAAACAACAGAATTCGGCCAGTTGAGAGAGACCTCTTGGAGGTCTTTTGCGGCGTCTCGAAGGCATCTTTGGGCCGTTTTGGAGCCACCTCGAGCGTTTTGGGGCGATCGTTGGGCGATGCTAGGCCCTCTTGGACCGACTGGAGCGGCCTCTCATGAACTACATGTTCAACATCGTTGTGTGTACGACCCAGGTCAGCGCTAACAGACGATGGGCGGTCCTGGCCAGGCTCCAGAGCACGACCCTCGATGAAACCAGCAGGAGGCTCTTCGTGCATCCCGAGGCCCCTCCAGGGAACCACTGGTCTCCTCGGCAGAGCTCGGTTGAGCCACGAACTGGCAGGCAGTGGCCCAGGAGATGGCCGCGATCGTTCACCAGGAAACGATTGCTCGAGCGTTCCTGGTGAATTACAGACCAGGCGGCACGGAGCTCATGGCGCTCTTCGCAGGCGCAGGAGCTATGCGCGCACAGCAAGAATTCGTTCTATTTGCCCTCGGAGGCCTCGAGGCTTCTCGACTCAATGTTCGGCTCGCCCTGACCGCGGGGTACAAAAGACCGTGGCACGCGCATGGACACCGAACGAGCCTTGCATGGATGCTTGAATTCCCCGCTGGCGCCAGCACCCGCGGTGACCCCGAGGAGTTCCGAGGCGAATGGCCCTCGCCCGTCGCAGGCTGACCCGAGAGCAGAAGCCCACTTACGTTCCTGAGCCCCGCACGCCGCACCCGTTGTGGGATGCATCGGCCTGGCCAAGGTCATGCCCAAGCAAGTGACGATGCTTGAGAATGCGTATGTTCGCCCCCCTCCGCGAGGCCACCGGTCTCTCGTTTGACGCGCTCCCTCGCAACGGTGCTGCCAGATATCGGTTCGTAGGCATCGTTAATCTGGCCCCCGTGACCGTGTTCTGGAGGGCGCGCAGGTTGCGAGTCATGCATCCTTTATGGCAGGCCGCCCATATAGCGATGTTGTGTTTGCTAGACATAGCCGTCAGTGCCACGCTGACGCTTGGGCGAGCTTAGCGCGCGATGAGCTGCTCTGGTTAGGTGGGCACGCTGGCGATCAGATGCGCCAAAGCCCATTGGCCACCCGAGCTGGACGGCTACTGTTGCGCACGCGGCATTGGGTTTGGGTGACGACTGCGCAGGCAAGCCGGTAAGGTTGCGCAGGCTGAGGCAGTCGACGGGATGCGGCGACTGGAACGGGGAGGCACGCTGCGAGATCTGGAGTGCGATACTGCGCCCACCTTGCGTGCTGCGTTGGCTGCGCACCGCACGAAAGCACATCCAGAGTTCGACCCTGATGGCCGGTGTGTCTCAGGGTCTCCATGTGCATCATGTTGCCAGCAGTTTCGCGCGTCCGATGCTGCTGAAACGCCTCTGGCACGGTCCGAGCGCCTGCCTGGCAAATATGTTGGCTGTTGCTCCTCCGTTGTCTGCCGAGCAAGTCTCGGCCGAACGTGATCGGGATGTAGTTGTATCGCGCAGCTTAAGACAGCAAGGACACGATGAGGAAAAGGGCAGTGCCTCTTCGATTCGGATTACAGTCGGACCGAACTGTAAAATCGAGGTCGGTTCGGGGAGGGTACCCTAGCGTTCTTCGTGTTCGTTGGACGTTCTTGTGCACCCTGGGTAGGGCACCCTTGGATGTTCTGTTTGTTTTGGCCGGCGGAGTGGCCTAGGTCTGACGGTATCAGGCTTGGCCTGTTGGGGCTTGCAAATGCCCGAGGGTGTTTGGTGTTGTGTGCCGTGTGCAGTGCAGTGCTCTGTGCGGCCCCTCCCACCCCCGTGCCCCATGTAATAGCTGCCTTGCCATTCAATAGTGTTCTGCACAGATGTGGCGACAAACGTCGGGCGGGCGATGTCCAATGGTTTTTTTGTGAGTCTGCTATACATGGTGTTTCTTGCCCCGCTTGCATCATGCGTCCAACCTGCCCTGCTTGCTCAAGATGAGCAAAGAGACAAGTTTGTTCAAATGATCCGATGATCCGCACAGGATTGGCGCCTGGAGTGATGGCCCATCCGGGGGAGGAGACTTGGAGTTCGAGAGCGGGTGCCAAGGTTGCAGTTCTGTTCCAGGGCCGTCCTCGCGGCGTTCCTTGTTGGTATGCATTATGTCTCGACTGGTGAGCATTCCATGGGGTTGGCTCTCAATTGCCGGTTAAGCAACCCTTTCGATTTTTCTCCTTGGTGGCTACCCAAGGTTGAGCGGATCGCTCAGCGTTGTGTGATTGCAATGAGTTTGCGCTGCTGCCTGAATATGGTCCCTGCGCCCAGTTGCGGTTTCCATTGCCGTCACATTCCGGGTGTTGGTGATAAGGTGCGTTCATACAGTCGACCCGCAGAGCAAGGATAGGCATCCCTCCCAAGGGTAACTTTGCATCCTTGCCTCCTGGGTCCATCCTTGGACACTTTCGTTGGCCGCGCCCCGCTCGACACGCTTCGAAATGGGCGTCCAAGGGCCTTGCATCCTCATCGCGCATCCTTCCTCTGCGGGTTAACTGTAGTTCGGTATGGTTAGTCGGCCTTCGAGCCCCGGGTGAGGTCTGGCCAGGATCGCCTCGCTCAGGCCGCCGTCGCCATGCTGCGCCTGTGAGGTAGCTGGACGGGCGGCGCCCCCTTGCGCAGTGGCAGGCCTCGCATCCCCGCGGGTCGCCGCCCACCAAGCCACCCCAGCCCAATCCGACGGCCCCAGTTTGCCCTGCATTTCTCCGCTGTGGGGGGGGGGCGGGGAGCATTGAGAAACAAAGCACGCATGGAACCCGTACCCCCCCAAACCCGAAAGCCGGGTCTTCGGGTTAGGTTGGGGTGGCCTGGTAGGTAGCCGGAGGGGGAGCAGGCTCCCTTCTGTATTTCACTTGACCGCTACGTGGGTCAGCGGCAGCCGCCGACGGCGGCGTTTAGGCGCCGCCCTTCTCTTTGTTTGCTGGTTTTTGCTCGATGGTGTCAATATCGCATGCACTGCACCGAAGCACCACAGACATCATGCATTGCAGGGACGTGCGCAAAAGGGGGAAGAGGAGGAGGACGAGAAGGAGGAGGAGGAGGAGGAGGAAAATGGGGCGGACGACGAGGACGAGGAGGAGCTGCAGCAGAGGGACGAAGGAGAAGGAACTGGAGGAGGACGAGAAGGAGGAGGACGAGAAGGAGGAGGAGGAGGACGACGACGACGACGACGACGACGAGGACGAGGAGACCCTCCCAGCCCGGCCGATACGACACCCGTTGCCCGCGCCGCAGGCGATCGCCGTGGGCGGCGCGGCTGCCGGCGCGCCGCGGGGGCGGGAGGATCGTTGGGGAAGGCTGGGGGACGAGGGTCGAAGGAGGACGGGGAAGAGGAGAAAAGGAGGAGGAGGAGGAAGGAGGAGGAGGAGGAGGAGGAGGAGGGGAAGGTGGAAGAGGACGAGGAGGGTTAGGAGGAGGAGGATGAGGGAGGAGGAGGAGGAGGAGAAGGAGGAGGAGGAGGAGGAGGGGGGAGGAGGAGGAGAGGAGGAGGAGGAGGAGGAGGAGGAGGAGGAAGGAGGAGAAGGAGAAGGAGAAGGAGAAGGAGAGGGGAGGAGTGAGGAGGAGGTGGAGGGGCCCAGGGACGGGGACTGGAACGGGGACGGGACGGGGGGGGGGGAAGGGGGGGGAGAGGGAGCGAGGGAAGGGGAGGAGGAGGAGGAGGAGGAGGAGGAGGAGGAGAAGGAGGAGGAGGAAGAGGAGGAGGAGGAGGAAGAGGAGGAGGAGGAGGAGGGGAGCCAGAGTAAACCCAGGATGCATCAGCAACAGTGCAGTGCATCCTCCCGTCCCGAGTCCCTTCCTCACAAATCCCTACAAGCCTGCCTTCTCACCTTACGAGTCGCCCCCTTGAAATACGAGCACTTGATGAGATGAGGAGGACAAAGCAAACCCAGGATGCATCAACGAGGCTGAAATACCCAGGCGATCGCAAACATGGATCGAGGGGGCGTGGACTAACCACGGGTCCCGTTTCCATGGGAAATCGCGGATTGCCGGCGCCGAACGAGGGGGCACCGGCCGCATTTTGGGGAGGGCACCTCCCCCGATCCATAGGTTTGGCGACCGCGCGCCAAATCCGTGGGGAGGGCTAGCCCCATGTCTGCGCGCCCCCGACAATCGCCCCTTGATCGCTGAGTGGGGCCCGAAAGCCCACCCTGCCCAGGAACGTGCAGATTCGGCATCGGGGGCCTATCGCCGAGCCGTCGGCGATGTGCCGCCGATTCCAGTTCGCCGAGCCATCGCCGAGCCATCGGCGATGTGCGCCCTCCCGTCCCGAGGGCCCTCACCACGCGTCCCCGCAAGCATGCCGCTCCACCACGGGGAGCCCGCACACCCTATGAGACACGAGCCCTTCATGCGCCTGCCATGCAGGCGAGAGCCCCGGCCCGAGGATGAGCTGCGTGGCATCCTTCTGGCGTTAAGTCGGGCGTGTCCCTCTACAGGGGGAAGCTTCAAAAATAGTCTAAAAATAGTCTGGGGACGATTTGTTTGACTATGTTTGGACATTTGTGAGCATGTTCTGAACATCTCTCTTTTTCGTTGTTTTGATATTTTTCTTTTCCCGTCCAAAATCCCCCTGTAGGGGGACAGGCCCTACCAAATTCTAGCACGTCATACGGCATGCGACAGGCGATCATCAGAAAGGTCCAGATGTGTCCAGCGAGTGCCCCGTCCTGGAAGAAGAAAACTCCCCCCTCGGTGCAAGTGATGCACCAGGTTGCATCTCTTCCTGGCTAATGGACGCGACGGCAGCGTGAGAAGGAACGGCCCTCCATCCATCCATGGACGCGTCGTTTGCGTTCATCAACTTTCTGGGCGTCAAACTTCCCCGAGCCAGAGCAACGCTCAAAAAAGGAAACGCCGTGCTTCAACGTATCCGCTTCGATCGCTGAAGACGAATCTGCGCGGCAGGCGAGAGCCCCATGTTGAAAAGGAGTTGCCATCCACCCGTGAAACAGCTGCAACATTCGAAGAAGAAGTTGCGCGGCGCTCAGGAGACAGCCGCATGTTGAAAACGAGCAACCCTCCATCCCTCTAGCTGGTGTAAGCTCTTAAACAGTATGTGCGCGGCGACTTGTAACTGCTGGGAGCACCAAGGTTCTCTCTCTGAAATGGTGGGGACGTGCCAGACGAAACGCCCGGCCCGCCCTACGGACACATCTGGGGGTGTGACCGCCGCGTGGTGTAAGCTATGTGGTTCGCCAAGCAGCATTTGCACCTAGAAGTGTTTTTTGTCCGGAGGAGCTACCGTCGCCGCCTGGTCGCCGCCCGTCGTCTGGGCCTGGGCGCCGGTCTGGCGGTTACGGGGTCGCATTCGCCGCCCCGTCGCCGCCCGTCGCCCGCGCCTGGGCGCCGGTCTTGCGGCTATGTGGGCGCCGTCGCCGCCCAACTTGCATTGTTTTGCATCGCTTTGCATTTCTTTGCATGGCATTGCATTGCATTATATTGCTTTGCCCTGCTTTGCATTGCACTGGATTGCAATCGCATTGCTTTGCAATCGCATTGCATTGCACTGTTTTACATGGGTTCGGATACATTTGCATTGCTACGTCGTGCTTTGCATTACTTTGAATTGCTTCGCATTGCGCAACATATTATCTCAACAGATTTGCACAACATTTTGGCACAACCTATTGGCACAGCATTGCGTTGCTTTCCACAGTGTTGCATCATTGTTGTACTGCTCGGCACGTAGATTGCACAACATAGCTTATTCCGCGTAGATGGCTCAACCTAGAGTGCACATAGATCGCATCACCTTGACTGTACCACTTATACTGCTTTACAGTGATTGCACCACATAGGTTTCTTACACCACACGAAGTGCAACACATGCATTGCACCACATCTGTTGCATCACACACGCACACTGCACCATGTAACTCACACCAGATAGAAAAGTTGCACCACATATATTGCATTTCTTCAACTGTATATATCACCCAATCCCCCACCCCTGCGGGATTATCCGCCCGCCCTCGGGATGTGCAATTTACCTATGGTTCTGCCCCATCGCTAATATTTTCAATTTGAATTCGTACCATCCCAGCTCAACCACTATCGACCCCCCTGTCACCTCTCGGAACAAGTAATATGCGCGCGCACTCGTTTATCAAAATTCGTCAAGTGTCAATAACCCCGTGCGAAGAATAGGATGCACACGCGCACACGTCGCGCGGGCATGCCGAAATCCTTCAGAATAAGGATATGGAAGTCGAGCGTCCCGAAACCATACAACACAGCATGGTTTGGCAACACGACTTCTCAAAAAAGGTCGGCGCGCGCTCCCTTTGCAAATTCTTGAGAACACCTTGGGTGCTTCAATGTTTCGTCACATGCGACCCAACGGGCACCTCTCGCGCGCATGTCAAAAGCATTCGAACGCCCTTGCGCGCGTGCATGTCGAAATCCTTCTAAAACCTTCATCACCGACGCGTGGACACATCATCGTCATCGGCGTAATCAGCATCGGCGCCGTAATCGGCCTTGCCGTCGTCATCGTCGTTATCGCCACCATCACCGCTACGATCTTCATCGCGTCTACCACTGTCGACGTCGCCAGATACCGCGCCCGCCCAAGTCACCGACTCGGACTGAAGTGCCCGCGCGTCAGCGCGGCCTGCGAGACGCGCTAGGAAGTGCCACCACGGCCGCGTCGGTCGCGCCAAACTACTTGGCCGATGCGCGCGCGAGCATGCGCGGGCTAGCGCGGCCGCGGCGATGCACCAGCCACCACCAAGCACTCATCGCAATCGCCGCCGCATGGGTTTTGCAAGCCAAGTTGCGGGTAGGCGGGATGATTGCGCAAGCAGTGGAGTTGAGAAAGACCGCGCGCAGGGCCAGACATACGAAAAGGGAGACCCCAGCTTCAAGTTACCCCCGTCCCCTCCCTTGGAAAAAGGAGGGGGCTTCCGAAGCTACCCCCCCACCTACCCCCCTTTCGTGGGTACTTCTAATCGGGGGGCCGTGGCTAAACAGAGGTGGGGGCTTGGACCCCTCCCCCTCTCCTCCTTTTCGGGGTTCGGGTTAAGCCTGGACTTCCTTATCCAGGGGGGGGGGTCCGAAGCTACCTCCTCCCCTCCCCGCAGTTGTCGGGATTTCCAGCTGGGATTGGCCTTGGCCGAAGGGGGGGGGTCGAAACTACCCCTTTTTTCACCTTGCTCTTGGAGCCGAGGTCGGCCCGGCCGCTTCTTTCCAGGGGGGGGGGGGTCGGACGCTACACCTCCCGCTCCCCTGTGGGGATTCGGACGTTAGCATTCAGGATTCGGGGGTTCGAGTGTCAGTCGAAAGGGTGGGAAGGAGGAGCTTCCGGAGCGCGAGAAGGTGGGAGGGGGTGAGTAGTCGGAGGTGGATAGACCTCCTACCTTGACACGTCGATTAGTGAATTGGCCGTTTTCGGTTCGCGAGAGGGCGTCGCGGCCGTTATTCATGCGGGTCTAGGTCCATCGGTTTCGGTCCTTGGCCGTTTTCGCTAAAGGGAGGTTTATTAAAGGGAGGTTTGTCCACCGCCGAAGTAGCGTCCGCGGGGTTTCAGACAAAGGAGGTCCATGGGGGGAGCTAAGCTACCCCCTCTCTTTGCAAAGGAGGGGAGGGTGGGGTAGCTTCCGGAGCGCCGAAGGGGGGGGGGAGCTTCAGGGGGGGAATTGTCGGGCAGGGGAAGGTCCAAGGGGCGGGGGGGAACTAAGGGGGACCCTCCCCCTTTTGCTCCAACCCTGCGCGCGCGCTCTCGGAGCTGACAGCTCCAAGCCTTTTTCCACATTTATTTACACCACATATGTCGCACCACACATGTTGCATCACGTAGCTTACACCACGCTTTGTGCACCACATAGATTGCACCAATTATGTTGCACCACATACATAGCGTGCATCACATATTTAGTGCGTAACACCGCTTACATCAGTTCGATTGCATCCTACATGTTACACCATCTAGCTTACACTACATATATTGCACATCATAGATTGCAACACTTCTTCTTCACCACATAGTATGCTGGACCCCACGGCTTTGGGTTCACGCTGACCACAAATATCAATATATTGACAGATGCACAAATATGTGTGCACAGATACGTGCATGCATGCATACACATATACCTACCTACCTACCTACCTACCTACCTACCTACCTACCTACCTACCTACCTACATGCATGCATGCATTCATACATGCATGCATGCATACAGATGTACAAACATATGTACTTATTTACATCAGTACAACTGATACCGGGGAAACAACCAAACATGTTTTTAGGGCTATAAGGCTGTAGGCTATAGGGCTATAACGCAAGGGGCTATTGGTCTGCAGGGCTATAGTGTTATAGGGCTATAGGGCTATAGGGCTATAGTGCTATAAGGCTATAGGACTATAGGACTACAGGGCTATGGGGCTATGGGGCTACCGGGAACCCGGGCAGCTGGGCACCCGGGCACCCGGGCGTGCCGCCGAAATCGGCCCCGTATTTCACCTAACCATATGCATCCGCTAGGACTCCTACAGAGGCAAGCTCTGATTTGGGAACATACGTACACACATACGTTCACGTATTGATTAATTCATTCATACATACAGTAGCCTTCGGCCTGTCCCGCCACATCGCTTGGGTTGAGGGTCAGAGGCCTCGGGGATGCCCGTGGTGATCTCTTGGGAGCCTCTCGGAGGCCTCCTGGATTCGGTTTTGGGGTGTCTCGGGGGCCATCTTGGGGCGAAGAGTTCGACATGTTGGTTCGTGTTCCCCCTTCCGAAAGCCTCTTTTGGGCCCCTCTTGGGGCTCTGTAGGGCCGTTCTGGGAGCCTTCTGGACCGTCTTGGGGCGTCCTGGAGCCTCTTGAGACGTCTTGTGGCGATCTTGGGGCCTTCTTTGGGCCGTCTTGGAGCGTCGAAAGGCAGGAAAGGCGAGAAAACTAAAATTCGTCAAAAACAAAAACCTATACCGATGGGTAACAAATCAAACGAGGCACGTTTGCACGGCGGCGGGGCCGACTGGATTGCACGAGGAGGGCCCAAACATTGGGAGGCCAGGCCCCGCCCGGATCGACCGCCTTTTACCGTGACCACCAGGCAGCACAATCGACAGATCATTCGCGCGCGATGTGCGCTCGGAGAGAGCCAACCAGCCCAGCCTGTCAGAGCTATCCATTCTGAAGACACGCAACGAGTATCAACGCCATGCCTGGCCTCACACCGGCGAGGTGAGAAATGCTAGACGCTTCGTGCAATCCACAAGCCAATCGCCTACGATTCCCAGTCAAGTGGTCGCGAGCAGGGATCGGGGGAGCGCCAGTGGAGTAAATAGACACCATATGTTAAGACACCGTGTCCTGATTGTGGCTGGCGTCGCTGATTTTCGCTGCGGCGCCATTAGTACAGCGCAGTTTGACGTGGCGCCACAAAGGCGAGCTTACCTCGGCTTGGCGACGCTGGTACTGAGCCAGACCATACCAGCCTGACGCAACGTCGGTCCGCGTACATTAGCTAAGCTGAGCCCAGACGATCCAGGTGCAGATTAGAAATCGCCAACATGGTTTCACTGAAGCATATTGCTCTTTCTGGTGAAAAGGCCCTGCGTTGCGGGAGTTTGGCATGCCCCCGGCGGTAATCGCCCCGTTCTCGTTGGAACTTTCTCGCGGGATCCAGGATCCCAACGTTGAGCCTTACACGATAGAGTCACACTAGGGTCCCACGCGAGAAAGTCGCTCACGAGAGAGTTCCTCGCGACGGGTCCCCACTCGATGAAGGCCCCATACGATACGGCCCCACACTGTAAACTCCCCTGTGAGAGAGTGCCAAACGACAAGGTTCCATGCGATTGTCCATGACAAGAACACAAAGATCGCACCCCATCATTACACGCGCTTTCACTCATAGATTACGCAGAGTCGCTGCTTGGGATCCCCCAGCAATATCATCCAGGTGTTGGATCCCAAAGTTGTCCACTGGTTTCTCGGAGCTCCCGTAGGGACCCGGAGGCTTCCTTGGGGCTCCATATGGAGGTCTTTAGTATCGGGGCTACGTTAGATACCGTCGTTCGGAAATGCAGGGCTGATGTTAGAATTCCTTCTCGTGGAGCCCTGGAGCCCTAGAAAATATTCTCGCGTGGCCATCTGAACTCTAATGGGGGGCTCGCCCTGTGCCCTTATTCGTATGGCCGTCTTGGGTCATATCGGGACCACTCTCAGGCTCAACGGAAATCGAAGCAGCGGCAAGGCGAGCATCATTGGGAAATTCCAATGTGTCAATTATGTTGGGAGCATCGGCGGCCACCTTGTAGCCATCATGGGGACTGCTTGAGGGCTCTCGGGGCCATGGTGGAAGCCGTGTTGCGCGATGTGTATCCATTTTGGGAGCAACATTGGAGCAACATGCGTATGAAGTGAGGGCATGATCGCCAGGCCAATGTGATAAGGGGCCGTGGTGAGCAGATGATAGCCGAATCGGAAGTCCTGCCAACATGCCTGAAGGCGAGCACGCAGCAGGAAAACTCGATTGGGGTACGTCGGCTGAACACAACGAGATTCGAACCAAAGGCCAGTGGTAAATGACAGCTGGTGAAAGCAAAGTCGCTCGAGCCCTGAAGCAACAGCACGGAGACAGATCCAAGTGCACGGGATAGAGCAGGAAAGCTTGGGCACAAATTCATGTGGAGCACTGGAGGCGAGTGGACGAGCATAGGGGGAAAAGAAGGAGGCATGAGGAGAAGATCGGGAAGTCTCAGGCCACGAGAGATGCGCTCCAAGGTCCTCTCAGAACGTCCTGGTGGTACCCCTGGAACGGCAGAGGCGCCTGCTGTGTCCCCCAGACTCGTCGGCTCTCAGAGGTTACAGTGGGGGCCCATGCCAGGAAACAGCCTGGTTGCCTCCAGGATGCCCTGGGTTTCTTGGGTTTCGATGGTTTTGCTATGGAAAGCGTGACGTTCCCACGCCAACAATCAATGGACGTATTGGGGTCTCCGGGTTGAATTTCTTGTGTAAGGTTTCTTGTGGTCGGGCCCCTACTTTACCCGACTTGTTCAGATGTTGTCTTCGCCTCAGGCTCGGCGCCGCAGCGTCTGGAGGGTTCCGCGCAATCCGCAAGCGTGGCCCGCGCAGGCGTGGCCCAGATCACCCGCGGCATCGTGAACACCCCGGATGCGATGAGGGGCCGGAGGCGCGCCGTCGTTCTGGGCCGGCTCCTCATCCAGTTTTCTCGTCCTCCATCATCAGGTTCTTCCTCGTCCTACTTTACCTTCTCGATGTCCTCATCCTCGGCATCATGGCATCCTGTTGCTCTTGCCGCCTCATCCTCAACCTCATCCTTGCTCCCTCATCCACACCATGCTCCACCACCTCATCCTTCTCATTATCGTTCCCCTCAATGTCCTTCTCCTCTTCATGCATATCTTCCTGGTTGTCCGTTTTCCCCACCACATCCTCCTCCAATAAGGACAGAAGGTTAGAGGAAAAAGATGGAGGCGATGCGCTCTGTGAACAGCCCTGGGCTTCTGTGTGCACTTGCCTTTAGCCAGCATGCTGCGCAGTGATGTTAAATCATCGGGCAGGCGGGGTACACGATGACGGAATGTTGTACCAGAAGTTCCTGGCGGCCCATCCGCAATCGCAGCGTGGACTCGCTGCATGTTGCCTCGACCTCTGCACTGCGCCCACGCTGCTCCAGATCGGTCCGCCGATTGGAGTAAGTAGGGGCGCAGTCCTAACGCGAGTCCAGATGAGATCGAACCCATGTTTCCTCGGCACGCTTCCTCCTCGCCCCCATGTCATCATCATCGTCTCCATCATCACGTCGTCGTCGTCGTAATCATCGTCGTCGTCGTAATCGTCGTTGTCGCAATCGTCGTCGCCGTCGTCGTCGTAATCGTCGCCGTCGTCGTCGCCGTCATCCTCCTCGTAGTCGCCGCCGTCGTCGTCGTAGCTGTCGTCGTCGTCATCGTCGCCGGCGTCGTCGCAATCGTCGTCGCCTTCGTCGTCGTCGCGCTCCCGCCTCCCCCTTCCCCTGCCCCGTCCGCTGCCCCGTCCCGGCTCCCCTGCCTCGGAGCCCCAGCGGGGCGCCGCTGGGCGCTCCGGCCCCCTTCCGAAGGCCCCTTCCCCCGGGCGTTCCTCGTCGACGGGGAGCCTGGCGAGCGTCGCGGAGGGCTTTTCGGCGGCGAGCGCCGATTTAGCGCCGGTTGGCGTCGATCAGCAGCGATGTGGCGTCGATTCAGCGTCGACTAGCGTCGATTCGCAAGAGCCAACAAAATGGCGTGGGAGGCTCCCATGAGTTGCCACCGAGATCGAAAAGCGTGTTGTATCTTGTGCAGGGTTTGGCGGCGAGCGAGGGGGGCAGTGAGGAGGAGAAGGCCTTCTCAGAAGGCGGCGGGGCTTCTCAGAAGCCCTCGCGCCTTCTGAGAAGTTGTTGTTCTGTCTTCGGGGAGTTCTCAGGCAGCTTCTCGGAAGCCCAGGGAGCTCCCGAGCCTTCTGAGAAGGCCTTCGCCTTCCCACCTCCCCCCTCGCTCGCCGCCGAGTTTTGGGTGGTGGCCACATGCGACCCCTGCCCCACCTCCCCCCCCTAGAAATCGCGGGGTGGCGGGGCGCAGGATGCGCAGGCGGCCACCCGGGCGGGCGGGCGCGCGGCGGCTTGGGGCGCGGGGGGGGGGGCGCGTCCTGGGCGGGCCTCTCCCGCGCGCCCCCCCCGCCCGCTCCCGGGCCTGCCGGCGGAGGCCGGCCGCGCCTCGCAGCGAGCGTGAAGTCGGGCACGTCCTTCTACAGGAGGAGCATTCAAAAATAGCCCCAAAAAATAGCCTGGGGACGATTTGTCGATTCTTTGGTCATTATTTTTGTCGAGCATGCTTGGAGTATTCTTTGTTCTTCGTCCAAAGTCCGCCTGTAGGAGGACACGCCCGACCTAAGCCTGCCGGCGGAGGCCGGACGCGCCTCGCCGAGAGCGTGCTGGGGGCGCGCGGCTCGTCCCGAGCGGCCGCTGGAGACCCGAGGAGTTATGACCCGAGAGCCGAGCGACCCTTCCAAGGCGCGGGCCGCTCGGCCTCGCGGCCGCGGCGTGCCTCGTCAGGGGGGGGCCGGCAGGCGTCGCGGAAGTGCGGGCGGGAACGCGGCCGCTGCAGGCTTGTGCTTTGGTGGGTTTGGACAGCCTGCTTCGGGCTTCTTCTTTTTCTGAGGGCGCTAGCCGTGTCTCGGCGGCGAGCGAGGGGGGGAAGTGAGAAGGGGCGGGCCTTCTCAGAAGGCTCGGAACGGGTGGGCCATCTCGGAAGGCTCGGAAGTCCCCCGGCCTTCTGAGGAGTTTCTCGAGCCTTTCCCGAAGACACAGGAAACCTCTCAGAAGGCGCGGGGGCTTCTGAGAAGCCCCGCCGCCTTCCTAAAGGGCCTTCTCCTTCTCACTGCCCCCCCTCGCTCGCCGTCGGCTTGTTTGGGGCACCTCGTCCTTAGGACCCCATCCCTCAGGGCTCCATCCTTGAACCGCCGACCTACCGCTGCCCCTGAGTATCGGCGGCGAGGCGGCGAGCGAGGGGGGAAAGCAAGAAGGGGCGGGCCTTCTCGGAAGGCTCGGAAGTCCCCCGACCTTTCCGAGAAGCCGTCCCCCTCGCTCGCCGCCGAGTGACAGTAGCGTGTCTTCTGAGACGCGTCGTCGATCTGCTCACGCCAGGGCGCGGAGCTCCGCGAGGCCGTGCGGCGGTGCGGAGGAGGAGGAGGAGGAGGAGGAGGAGGAGGAGGAGGAAGCAGGAGGCGGAGGAGGAGGAGGAGGAGGAGGAGAAGGAAGCAGGAGGCGGAGGAGGACGCGGAAGATGCGGAGGAGGAGGAGGAGGAGCTCCGCGAGGCCGTGCGGCGGTGCGGACGCTTCAGGCCTCCGGTATGTCCGACGGCGGAGGGGAGCGCGCGCCGGGGCGGGCCTGGCCCGCCGCGGCCTGTCGCTCCCTCCCGTGCCCTCTGGGCCTGCCGGCGGTTGCCGCAAGACCTCGGGGCAGCGGCAGGTCGGTGGTTCGAGCACGGGGTCCTGGCAGGGCTCGTTTCGATTCCTCCAATCCGATTCGATTCGATGTCGATGGCTTCCGATTCCGATCCGATTCGGCTTCGGATTCAGATATAGATTCCGATTCCTCCATGGAGGCCTATTATATTGCCGATTTCCGCCGATTCCACTTCTCCCGACTTGGCTGCCCAGTTCCGCCGATTCGATTGATTTCGATTGCAGGTCTGACTTCTCGATTCGATTCTGGGTTCCCCTGTCCTGAGGGACGGGGTCCTGAGGACGAGGTGCCTCAAACAACTTGCTCAGGGGCAGCGGCAGGTCGGTGGTGCACGGATGGGGTCCTGAGGGACGGGGTCCTGAGGACGAGGTGCCTCAATCAACCCGACGGCGAGCGAGGGGGGCAGTGAGAGGGAGAAGGCCCTCTAGGAAGGCGGCGGGGCTTCTCAGAAGTCCCCGCGCCTTCTGAGAGGTTCCTTCTCTCAGCGACGCCGCGCCGCGATGCTCAGGGAGCACCGCGTCTGGGACCAGGAGCTCGGCCAGTGGGTCGCCCGCCGCCGGGCCGGGGAGGTGCAGAGCGAGGGCGAGGTGAGGCAAGGGTAGGGGTCTAGGTTTCAGTCGGGCACGTCCCTCCACAGGAGGAGCACTCAAATAGTCAAAAGAATAGTCTGGATGCAATTTGTCAGTGCTTTTGATCATTGTTTGAGCATGTTGGGGGTACTTTTTTCTATTTCGTCCACAATCCGCCTGTAGGAGGACACGCCCGACCTGAGGCAAGGGCAGGGATCGAGGGTCGAGGATGGAGGCTTTCGGATCGGGGCTCGAGGGTCGAGGCCTACCGGGCGTCTCTCGGCCTTCTTGGCCTCCAGGGGGCGTGCTCGTCGGGGCTGAGTCCGCCTCGAAGTCCTCGTCAGATCGCACCCCG